CCATTAAGACATAGTTTGACAAGGAAACTTAATATTCTAGAATATGTTATATTACTCGCTGAAAGTTACGTAGGTATCATCGATAGGTCCCCTGGGACTAGGTCAGTTCTGCAGAATTCTGCATTCGGGTGCAGAATTCTGCATTTGGGTTGCAGAATTCTGCACCTGAAAGCAGAATTCTGCATCCCATATGCAGAATTCTCCATCCAAATGCAAAATTTGTGCCGCAGCTGTGGCGGTCTGCGTCGCGCTGCGTCACATGTGGTGAACCCTGACTTGCCGTGACCTTTGACAGGTGGGAACAGTGCTGTTGTTGTTTTTCATGGGACAAATGATGATTTTCTTCTTCTCTCGCGCATACTTGCAGTGCCGGGCATGGCGCAGAAGACGGCTTGGGGTCTCTCATATCATAGGGATCGGAACCACGATATCCAACGGGCAGCTTTCCAGTGTAGCCACAATTACAGAAAATTCTGTCGCAGTTATACATCCAGATCAAACAGCGTGTTTCAGCGCTGCTTCAGTTAGAGCTGTTGCCTTCCGCCATGCTCAGCAAACAATCAGTAATGCTGAGTGCTAGCAAACAATCCGTACAAAATAATTCAAGGAAACAATTAACAACAAGTAGAAATTGATACAAAAATTTGCATATGACCCATGACCTACTTTGACGCTGTTAATGGGCTGCGCGCAACGCAGGTCTGTTTATAATTACATGATGTTTTCCGTGCCGCAGACTCCCCGCTGTGTGTCGTGATGCACTTGTGAAGGTGCCACAGATAAAACGGCGCAAGGCGCTGCGCGGCAGTGGGGGGCCTGTTTACACGCTTGAAAAATGTGTTGTACAGGTCGTGCACGCGTCAAATGACGCCCAACACATAAAAACGACGCACGTGTGAACCGGGCCTTAGTTTCCAGTACAATTTGCAACACGGATTCATCTCAAAGGCAACCACTCTTAGGAGCAAAGCTCATCATCAGGTATCATAAATATTCTGTAGCAGTAAAGAAAAGGAATCGTTTAGATGTGATACATTGTGCATCCAGAGTGTACCTAAAAGTTTACTTGAAACTACACTCTGGGCTGATGCTTGTGTAGTGGATTCTGCCCTTGTGGGTGCTTAGATTGCTACTGGCTTGAGCATTGATTAGTTATGGTCCCACCCACATGATTGTTAAAACAAACAAATCCTTAGGGCTGGCCCACACTCCTAGAAAATCTTCATTAGTCACACCTGGCTCCTATCAAATCTGGCACACATGTACATGCATGGTATGTGTGTGCCTGCTAAATACCTTGATGACAGGTGTCCTGTCCCTGTGTAACACTAACTCTCATTGGAGCTTCTCCCAGCAGCAGGAGTCAGGCTATCCTACCAAACCCAGCTGTGACAACCCCCAAGTTGACAGAATTACATTTATAGGTCATACAGAAAGAGAATACATGTTTTATAGCAGTTGACTCATTATTAGGTATTTAGGCAGACCCACCTGCAACTTGATACTAGTTAGTGTCAATGTAGTTTGTTTGGATATAAAAACATAACTGCAGAACAGTCATCATCAAACATGCAGATATCTCTTTTAAAAGTACTGCTCTAGAAATATCCTGGGTGCCAGAACTCAGCCCTTTAATAGAATATAATAATCTCTTTTCACTGATCTTGTCAACTATGTCATATGAGATATAAGATGTCTCTGCCCAACCATGGAGGTGTAGGGGATGGAAGCATTTGGCATCTCAGGAGAGATTGTGTTGCATTGGTGTCTGGCATCTCCATTGGTGGACTTAGTCAAAGAGAGGCCACCAGAGGCCACTGGGCCTTGCATTTGAAGGCTTGATATGATATGATATACAATGATAAAGTTGCATGAATTAAACTTGCCATATATAGATATAAAGTACTAGTAGTCTGCTTATAGTCTGTGTCCTCAAATCAGTTATTTTTTCCAGCATTCCTTTACCAACAGGGGCCCTAGTCCTCTAACAAAACAAAATGTTGCCCCTCAGAGGTTGACCCATAGGGGGAATTGGGGTCAGTTGAATGACCTAAGAATGGCCTGAGCCACCTGAGAAGGCTAGCTCAAATTATTTTGTTCTACTTCTAGACTGAATGCAAATAACCAAAAGACCTGAGAAAGTACTCAGTCTGTCATATCCTAATTCTAGATGTACCTTTACCTTTTACCTAGTCCCATCCTCATGTCTGAGGGTCGGGGACTATACTAGATGTACTAGATGTACAGATGGATATCCCCAGTACCAGTATGTGTATCAAAAATACGAACAAATATGCACACAATTGCACAGAGATTTTTTGCTACAATGTACATAAGATGAAAGGAACATTGTGTTTCCCATTTCAGATATATATATAGAAAATTGAACAAATTTGCTTCATCTATCTGGTATTCAATCCAATGAGCCATTTGTATGGCCATGCTTCAGTTCAGTTTTCAATGATGTAACACAGAGCTGATAACCTTGCAAAACAGCGTTTCCTACAAGCAATTGCACTCATACATGTAAAATTAATGTAAAAACAGAAAAGATTACAGGTTAGATCAGAATAGCAGTGAAAATTCCTTTCTGTTGCAGTATATTACTACAATCCGCAATGACAGCAGCTGCTAAATCCATCTGTATCCTGTTAGTGCACAGCTTTCTGTTTTGTGAACTAGTTAAAAAAAAAGAAATTGAATTGATGAATTTGCTAATTTGATAACGCGGTGGCTAATGACACTCCAGGAGTGGATATAAGGGACAAACAATTCTTAGGCCACACCAACTTAATTTGTTGGTTCTTGGATTTTTTCAGAAAAAATATGAAGCGACATGCATGGCGAAAAAAATAATAAAAATAGGTCTAGACATCCTATTATAGCCCCAAATGGTATGATAGGAGTCATGAAGTCAACACAAAAGGCTGGGTTAATATTCAAACAATGAATTGTGAACTTTTAATCAAACCACACTTACTACATTGATATACATGATGTATGGAAGAAATCTGTAACAACTAGGAAAAAAGTACTTTCCTTAACTGTTGGGGGCAAAATATGAGCAGTTTTGAGTTGATTCAGAACCAGAACTTTTTCTTTTTTTTTAAATCAGAAAAAATGAAGAGGCAAATCCGAGAACAAACAAATTTAATTGGTGTGGCTTTATATCCACTCCAGAATACTTGTCTCTGTGGTTTTGGTTTTGGTGTGTGTTTGGGGCTTCAGGGGCTTAAAGTTTTAACCCTGGGCTTCAAGTTTAACTTAGTGGATGTCAAAAAGGCTGACAATCACAAAACAACACAGAACTCCCACAAATTTTCAATATGGACACGATACAAGGCAGGCAGTTTTAGAAAAATACCCACGCCGAGCTCAGTTAGGTGTCAAGCAAAATGGTTGAAAAAGAAAACCGTAAGTTGCCGTTGAAAGAAAAGAAAACGTTGAAAAGCTGACCCATGTCTACAGAGCGGCAAAGTTTGGCTGACCAGCCAAACTGTCACATACAGTATGGCTGAGCTTACCAGAACAGTTCTAGGATCAAATCTCCAACATCCACAGGACTTGATCCATCTATTTATCTATCTATCTATCTATCTATCTATCTATTTATCTATCTATCTTAATCTATCTATCTAAAAGTATCTATCTATCTCTATATACATGTATGTGTGTGTTTGTGTGTGTGTTGTCTTGTCATCCTGTGAAGACAGTCTGAGCTTTCCTCTCAGTTTTAGGTCGCCCAAGGTTGATCTGGATGCTTGAATCCTGGATCGTGCCCCCACTTTGGCCAGTGTGTTGGAATGTGTAACTGAGAGGTCCAATGGGAGAGCGTGCACGGTATCATTGATATATTGAGGTCAGGGTCTGAGTGAGGTCTTTGTTCTTCAAGGGACCGCCTTTAGGCTCTCCCTGAAAGCTGAAGAACCAGCTTTTGTGAACTTCAAGTTATTTGTTCAATTTTGTTCTCAGGTTGTTGTGCAAAGAAAACTGAAGTTCAAATTAACATTTATTGCATTTTGAATAGCATTTCTATTCATCAACCACTTTAAATTGTAACAAGATTTTCTGACAGTCCTTGAATCACTGATAGTTAAAATACATCACAATTTTCTGGCATCCTAACATCTACTCTGAGAATTAGACACCTGGATACAAGACATATCAGCCAGTGAGAAAAGATCACAATTTTCTAGCCTAACATCTGCTTGGAGAATTCAGACACTGACATAAGGCAAGGGAATGATGGCACCGGCCAGGACGCCAGACTGCAGTGCAACACAATACTCCCTTCAGCTGGGGGAAACATGCCTGCCTGC